CAGTCGGGTAGTATGTGGTATAACTGACTGAGCAAGTTCCTTCTGAAGAGGAGATATGCAAATAATGATGTCTGTCCTTGTGTGTTTATAAAGAAATTCAAAAATAGCTTCTGTGTTATATCAGTCTATATTGATGATATAAATGTTATTGGAATGCACAAGGAGCTTACAGAAGCTAGCTCATGCCTAAAGACGGAGTTTGAAATGAAAGACTTGGGAAAAACCAAGTTTTGTCTCGGCCTGCAGATCGAGCATTTTCCCAGAAGGAATTTTTCTACACCAGTCAACCTATGTGAAAAAGGTTTTGGAAAGATTTTATATGGATAAATCTCATCCACTTAGCACACCAATGGTCGTTCGGTCCCTCGAAGTGGATAAAGACCCATTTAGACCCAAAGAAGATAATGAAGAAATGTTAGGGCCAGAAGTTCCCTATCTGAGCACCATTGGAGCACTTCTTTATCTCGCAAATTGCACCAGGCCTGATATTGCATTTGCGGTGAACTTGCTAGCAAGGTATAGTGCTTCTCCTATAAGGAGGCATTGAAATGGCGTTAAACATTTCCTTCGCTATCTTCAAGGTACAAAGATCTTGGACTATTCTATAAAAGAAACCAAGATATGACATTGGTGGGCTATTCGGATGCTGGCTACATGTCTGATCCCCATAACGCCAGATCCCAGACTGGTTATGTATTTCTCTGTGGTGGTACTGCCATTTCTTGGAGGTCTGTCAAGCAGACCATGGTGACTACTTCTTCTAACCACTCAGAGATTATCGCTTTATATGAGACCTCACGAGAATGTGTATGATTAAGATCGTTGATACGACATATTTGTGGTCTAGCAAAAGATGATATTCCCCCCACTGTCCTTTATGAGGACAATGCAGCTTGTGTTGCACAAATGAGCAGTGGATATGTAAAAGGAACCATGACAAAACATATTACGCCAAAACTCTTTTATCCACATGAGCTCCAAAAGAATGGCGAAATCACCATCGAAAAAGTTCACTCAAGTGACAATCTTGCAGATTTGTTCACTAAGTCTCTGCCTACGTTAACTTATGAGAAATATGTTCATAATATGCATAGACTTGAAAGACTGTCTTCTTTAGGAGGAGCAAATTCTTAAAGAACAATCCTGAAGATTGGGCCCTGAAGGTCTATTATCATAATTTGCCACTTTTCGCTAAGTTTTGTCCCACTGGGTTTTTCTTAGCATAAAGTCAGAAGATTGTCATCATCAGGGGGAGCGAATTTTCAACGTAATCCCGAAGATTATGCCTTGAAGGACTATAGTTGTACTCTTTTTTTCCTTTTGCTAAGTTTTGTCCCACGGGGTTTTCTTAGCTAAAGGTTTTTAATGAGGCAACTAATGCAACACAAGTTTTGGATCCCGAAGATCTATTCTTAGCTAAAGGTTTTTAATGAGGCAACTAATGCAACACAAGTTTTGGATCCCGAAGATCTATAGTTATACTCTTTTTCCTTTTACTAAGTTTTGTCCCACAGGGTTTTCTTAGTTAAAGGTTTTTAATGAGGCAACTAATGCAACAAGAATCTACTAATGTCGTGTACTCTTTTCCTCGACTAGTTTTTATCCCACTGGGTTTTTCTAGCGAGGTTTTTAACGAGGCATTGACATCATGTAGTAATGTCCAAGGGGGAGTGTTGTAAATATAAATACAATGAATGTGGACATTACTAGAAGAAGACTCTTCACCTACTTGTGACTTTTAGTATTCTCTTCTACATCTATATAATGTAATCCATGGAAGAAAAAATGTATGGTGAAATGAGGATGAATAAAATGAGATGATCACTTTCTCCTTATCTCTTCTCTTGTCTATTTACATTTACATTTTATGTTTGATTCTTACTTTTGATATGTGATGTATGTAGATACAACAACGAGATTATAACACAATACATATTATGTAACATTCTTGAATACTAATCAAGATTTTATTGTTGCATATATTATTTGATATCATTTATATAATTGATATATTATTCATATAAATTGTTATATTAGATCACGCACTATGATGGTCACTTGCACGGAGATATATGTGATCTAAGTTAGAGATTTTTTAAACATGTACTTAACTTATAACTAGTAAATGATAACTTTGTTATTACAAGTTATTATACATGACACCAACATGTGTGAAGTAGTGGTGGGCCTTAACAATCTAGAATGGGGATTCCCTGAGTGTATGTCATAAGCACACTTTATGATGTGTGTAGCAGTAGACCGCATTTGAATTTTCTAGGATGAGTCGCCTAAAAGATAGAAAATTCCAATTCTTACATGGTCCCTTAGATTTGATGATATTATTATTTTCGATTTGATAATTTAGTATGTTTTTACAAGTGCTACACAACCCAAAGCTTTTGGTTTCTAGATTTCATTTAGCGAAATGTTAGATATTTAGATAAGATCCAATACGCTCATTTAGATGAGATAATTTATTATACATATATCCCATGAAGTTATTAAATTCCCGCCGGCAGATGGTTTTGAAAAATATTTTTCAAAGTTTATTTTCTTATAAAAATAAAATATTTTGATGTTCAAAATGATTTTTATTTATGTTTTATTTATATTCATGCATGAGGATTGCAATTTAGGCATCAGCAACCAAGTGAATTGTCGTGCTTGATAAAGTTGCCTAAAATAAAATATGTGTAGTTTTAGTGCATGTTAGGATGTCAAATGATATCTTATTTTGGATGTGTATATTTCTTTTATATGTTCTATATGCTCCTATTGCTAATGATGCAACTATACGCTTGTACTCGACATGGGGATGAAATTATTCGGAGTATGTACATGTTTTGCAACTCCTTATGTTGATGTTAATCTATGATGCTAAACTATTCAGCTACTAGACAATTGGATGCAACTAGTCAAGTGTTTGCTTCTTTTGCTACTTTCTTACGTTGATGCTACTAATCTGGGTTAATTGTTGCTGTTCAGTTATGATTGTGTTTTAATGTACGAGATGACAATACTTGTAGCCTTGTTACGGCTTCATGATATGCAAAATCAAATGAAGGGGGAGCTAGTAGGCTATGATGGACTATTGGTATGAGTCTGAGCCTATCGCAACCTTGAATCAATGATGCCTTGTGATTTTTGTTGTTGAGTTCATGGCTGCATATATTCGGTTGGTTATCTGTCTTATTATGTTGCTTAACTATTCTTAATAAATCTTGGCTCTCACTGAAATAGAGATTTCAACCTATATATGCTATTTTCTGTATTGGAAGGTTCTCTCTTCATGTTTACAACATAGAGAGATAGCAAACCTATATGGAAATTTCATGCTATGGATGGTTATCTCTACATGCATTACAAACGGCTATGCTGCATTTAGAAGTAGCAACCTGCATTGCTCTTTGATGTACTGGATGGCTACCATTGCCAATAATGTTAGACTTTAGTCTAAGCATATCGCAATCTTCAGTCAATGATACCTTATGGTTTATTTTTGCACAGTTCATGGTATACATATTTCAACTTATATGTTTTGCTTTTTATTTATTAAGAAAATGATCTTTTCATGTTTTTACAAATGGCTATGAATTTCAAACTGTTGCTTTCTTTGGAGCTCATATATTTCGTTTTCATATCTTTATTGTTGGTCTTGTGCTCTATATTGCAATGAAGATGGTTAATATTATGAGATAGCAACCTAGATAGTCTTTTTCATGTATTGAATATGCTATTCTTGTTGTCTTGACACTTTCTGAGCTAAAAAGACATAAATGATGAGAAAGTTCCTCTGATTGTGTACAAATTTCTGCAAAAAGCTTCCATAAGAACATATGGAAATGCTCTACTTGAATGAAAATACTGCTGGCATGATTACACAGAGAGCCCTACAAGGAGTTAGCCCAAAAATTGTACAAAACTTCCATATTAGAAGTTCATGCTGAGTTGATCTCAAACAACTTCTTCGAGTACTTGATTTTTTATTGACTTTTTTATTTTTTTTCAAAAAGTAAAACACATGCAAGTTGAATTGAGTTTGCAATCGCGGCTCATATCGATACATATTTATAACTGAATGTTTGCTAATATCTCTGTTTGCCAATTTTCTAACTTTTGGAGTTCATATTCATGCTTGGCCAAATAGTGCGGTAATCTCACCATGAGTTTTGTGATGTATGTTTCAATGATGATTTCTTTGTAACCAAATATGTAATATCTGAGGAAACACCAATCAATAAATATGGTTTCCTTTTTTTCTTAATCAACTAAACAGGGGAAACAACGCAACGCAGGTTCTTTCTTTTCTTGGTGAAAAAAATAAACAAAGGTTCCCAAGAAATATGAGGAATGACATGGAATTGCAATTCTGGGATTAAAAATGGTTTCCATATATTTCAAGAAAGTGACTCAACAGACCCTAACTCTCTCTTCTTCCCCACTCCTCTCTGTTTCTATCCTTCTTAATCATCGCCCTCAGCACGATGATTAGCGAAACCTGTAGGATAAAGCTAGAGGAGTAACACGCACACATTTTATCTATGTTCGGATGCCGCGTACAGCCAATTATACACGCAGCTTAGATTTCAAATTTAGAAACGAGATTCTAATAGATATTGGAAACTCTTAACCGCCTTCTAATTTCTTTATGGATTACTCTACAGTACTAGAATAAGACTTATTGCATTTTAAACTCGTTACGATGTAATTTGAATGGAAAAACTCGAACCCGCAAGCTCTTAACAAATAATCGAAACGTACACCTCACCGTAAACAAGTCTAAGCAGGTGAGAAAACGTGCTGATTACGGACGAGCTCGCTCACCTTTCGGCACTATAGATGGACTTGTGATTCCATCAGAAACCAATTATTTCTTGTAAACCCCTAACATTAGGAGGTTCGACTTCGGCACTTTTACCAAATCAACAAAGTAAACAACGACAACCATCTAGGATCTTTTAAGACTAGACAATCCGACGACGGTACTTTTGCTCCACAAATCACAGCAACAGCCATCACCTGGCCGACAAATCATACAAATGTAGATATACAAAGAAACAAATCACAATAACAGCAGAAGCTATATCGGACTATCAACAATAACACGTAATGCCAACAGAGATCATATTGGGGACCACCAGAACAGAAACACAACAATACAGTTCGATGTTAGTATGTTGTGATTGCCATAAATACGCATTGAACCCTCAACGGCATGCTAACTAGTCAGCCAAGGCACCCTAAACCGCTAAATCTTGTTACATGTAAGGCTGGTGAGATTGCTGTCCTCCAGCACCAGTATAGCTTCCATAACCGGGCGAAGCAGATTGAACTCCAGTACCTATATAATTCCCATAGTTGCTTGTTGTTGAAGATTGATACCCAGAGCCAGTGTAGCTCCCATAGCTCGTTGTCCCATAGCCTGCAGTTCCGTAGCTTGATGAACTACTGTAAGGAGCAGGAGGCGCAACTCTCTCATCAGGATAATGATAGGGTCTTTGAGTGCTAGGTTGCTGAACATATGGAGCATGGCTAGCCATATCATAAGCCGGTTGAGTTGCATAAGGATATCTCTCAGAATACCTATCAGTAATAGTTGGATACATAGCCCTCTCATCGTAAACTGGAGGGGGCATCTGTCTATTGTCAATAAAAGCAGATGGCTTTCGAGAAGCATACCCACCATTTGACTTGGGCTTCTTTGGTTGGGTTTTTGGTGGTTGTGCTGTTCTCTTCTTCTCGTATTTTGCCTTTTCGAGCTGAGCCATTCGTGTCTTCAGAGGTTCGATGGGGTACTCTTCGTGAAGCTTGTACTCTTCAATACACTTGGTGATGACCCTCAACGCACCAATCTCCTTGTTAACATCCTTCTGTATAGACATGCAAAGAATAAATTGGGCTAGCCACCATTAGCACTAGTACTAAGTTGCATCTCTATGTCAAAGTTTTAATTCATGAGTAAACTATCTTGTATGCAAAATGTTTTAATAGATATCTAACTTGGGACTTAAAATAGCCGTTGCTTCCAGAAATAAATGAACTCAACACAAGAATTTTCTGACTCCCAAAACCAATTCTCTGGATCTAGAAATTTCCAAAAGTTCCTTTCAACCAAAGCAATTATAATATGATTATTGAAGTTTCTATTTTCAGAAGCAGTCAAAATAACAGTATGTTGTCACTGTAGTGATTTAGCTTTATAGTTGCATCTAAAATGTTATTTGGCTCGAGCATGCTCCATATAGAATTGGGTAGACGTTTTCACAAATAATAACCAATAGTTATAAGCTTAGAATGCACACCTGTCCACCCACAACCGCAGCATCCCCAGTACTTTCCTGGGCATTCCCCGTCACATTATTCAAGTATTCCTTCAACAGCGGAACAGGAGGAAAGGTCTCTGTAAGCTGGAAGGCATGAGCAAAATGTACTGCATCAATCTGCCTCCCAGTTTTAACCAAAGTCTCAACCACACCTGCACATAAAAAGCACTACTATCAATATACCAAAAATCTAATACACCATGTATGCTACTCTTAGCTTTTTGTTCCTTTTAATTATGTCGGTCCACTTTGCTCTTCCTTTTCCCTATAAACATTTTTTATCTCTAGGACTATACCAGAAGGAATAGTATAAACTAGTATAAGAGGAACGTCCAACGGTCATTGGGCCTCATTTGGTCAATTTGTAAATACCAACCTGGCATTCTGTGTATTAATCCAAGAGAACGGCAAAGCTCAGGTGCCTGCCTACGCCGAGAGATAGAAAGGACAAGCTTGCAGAGTTCGTCTTCATGAAACTCTTCTGCAATGCTAAAAGTGATTAGAAGTTGCAGGAAGGCTGCTGCTTCCAATGAGTATCCATTAGAAGCATCAATATCTACTCCAGCCAATTTGGCCTTCCACTCATCAGCAATTGCCTTGGCCTGCTGTTTAATTTCAGAGCTCACAGGGTGGTCATTACCTTGCTCAGCCACCACCAAGAGGGGGGCTGCAGCTTCCAACACAACATGACAGGTTCTGCGAAGGACCTGAAGGGCATTATTCTCACCACCCTGGGAGTTGGATGGATCTTGAGGATAAAAGCCCTCCAGGAAATCCAGCACTAACCGGGCTGGTTCAGGTGCACTTTTAAATGCAGTAGAAAGTTCCTCACCAATGGTGGTAAGGAGTTTCTTATTATCTGAAAGAATTTTCAGAAGCCCTTTTGCATCCATCTTTTCACAAACTTCCATCAATTGAGGGCGAAGCTTAACTTCGCCAGCCACGGCTTCAGCCGGATCACCTGATTTATTATCAGGGGGGTTCCCCTCAGGTGGAGTGGGTGCATTAGGGCCATCAATGGTAGAGGTGCTTACCTTGTTATCTTTGTTTCCTTTTACATCAACTAGCACTGGAGTTGGCGCCTTGCAATTCTTGCGTGCCTCTGATATAGCAGAGACAGCAGCATCTTTCAGCTCCTGAAGCCGATCCAATGAAGCAAGTTCCTTTGCAGCAACAGCTGCCTCTCTTTCTGCAACCAATTTGGAGGACTCTGATCGCTTTTCTTCTAATATTCTCTCTTTCTCTTCTACCTCGCTTAACTTTTCATGCAGTGCTTTCTCGATATCCCCAAAATATCCTTTGATGTCTGCCCACTGTGTATTATTTGGCAATGATGCCTCTCTGCGAGATTCTAGTTCATTAAATGCATTGCCAAGCTTCTCAATCATTTGTTTTGCTGATTCGAACCCCTTGGCAACTTTCACAGCATCTTCCATAGCAACAACTTTCGATTATGAAAAAGCTGCATGGCAGATTATGGATAATAAGGTCAAGGGCGAAAAGAGACATTTTAACAAGCATGAATTAACATTGTAGTGGGAAATCAAGTATAGAAGAATGAAAAGTATGCATGGTGTACTTGCATGCAGACCATACACAAACAATAAATGCATAAGAATAGAAGATATTTGTTGGCAGGACATTATAGAAGCAAATATAGAACACCCTGAATGCAAGCAATAAGTCAATAACACCTTTCTAGAAAAACAAAGACAACAAGCATAAATGTTCTTCAAGAAGCTTCATTTGGAAAAGCATAGGTGGCCTGCAGAAAAGTGCCAAAGAAAACGACTGACTGGATTACACCTGTGCATAAATTATTTATTTCATACTGTACATGAAAAAAGAGAAACCAAAACAAGAAGCAAACCTGGTAGACGCATAATGTTAACCATATTTATGGTTTCCTGCTTGGTTAATAGATTTCTGAGATCAGATAGATAAATAGTAACTCACTCAAACAATGCTATATAAGCAGATAATATAATTATCATGCAGCAGCTAAAGCCACAGACTTCAAAAATACCACTCAAAGATCTACATTTACCCATATGGCAGAAGGCTCACATATATTAAAAAAGTCATGTTATTTGGATTTTAGTACCCTAAAGTTTACACCTTTTTTTTAACTTTGATATCCCAAAGTTTCATTGCCATTTAACTTTCAGTACCCTTCTGTACATTGTTTGTCTATTTTCTTCTAAATGTACCCCCCCCCCCCACCCCACCCAAAAACACACACAGGGCAATTCCATTTAGATGAAAAATGTATCCTCTTTACCCTATTTCCTGTCCACTTTATTAGGGTTTTGTTGGAATAAGTTTGGTCTAAACAAAATAAGTAGGAAAAATGGGATTTCTTTTTGGATAATTTAACAAACCAGCACCCAACCAGTAAAAAATAACCCACCCAAACAAAAGAAAAAACATTGCAGTATTTCCCACTAAACCCCCCATAACTTTTTTCATGAAACTACTAGAAGTTTGGGGTTTTTCCCCTCCCAAGGAAAAAATAACCCATGGGACCGATCCCCTAACAGTGTAAATGGATCAACAAGGTACACAATCAAAATAATGGCCAGCAGCACCATTACACTAAGTGGGGTTTCAATGAGAAACAAAAAAAAAAAAAAATGTTGTTGTTCTTTTTTTGTTTTTGGGCGTTGGGGGGGGGGGTGATGGGTGGGCTGGGTTGGGTTTGGGGAAACACCCTGAAGTTCACAAGTTTTAGTTTTTAGTGGAATAAAAAAAAGTCCAGTATTAGTGTTAAGCATGTGATACATTTCAAACACAAAAATAAATGTTGGTGAAATGGAAGGTACTAAAGTTAAATAACATTGAAACTTTGGGGAATCGAATGTCAAAAGAACTTTTTGGTATCAAAGTCACAGCAGGTATAAATTTTAGGGTACAAAAGTGCAAATAGCCCAACAAAAAACAAAAAAATAAAATATTCTTTCTCAGAATGCAGGATATTGTTAAACTTCCTAAGTTCCTATAGCATTAAGTGTTTAACAACCAAAAGAAATTAATATGCACTGGAAGAAATCATCTACTCATATTTTGATGTCAAGTTGTCAACTAATAGTGCCACTTGCCCCAAGAGTGGAGAGAAAGCACATTTATTTTTCTTATGAAGAAGGAAGCTTTTGGATAATTATAGCCTCTCCTTGGTCTCAAAGCTACAGTGCTTAGCATTTTACATGGACTAGGTGTACCGGACAATTATAGCTTCCCTATGTCTTCAAATCTAGAGGCTGCAAAACAGTATAAATAGTCTAGAATATATGAAAAGTGGATAAATTTAGTGATAGAAACATGACAGATGAAGGGGAAAAAGCTGAAATTTGGACTTCTATGAACAGCTTCAGAAAAACAGTCGTAACTGGAGCTACATATGTATATTCAATGCAAATGACCAATGTTTAAAAGCTAAAAATGAGGCATAAGGTTGTAGTTGACTTTTTCAAATTTACATACTATTCCGTACAAAGAGTCTCTAGAACCCACATCAAACGGAGAAGATACACTTTCTTGATTTGACTAACACAAGGATAATGCCGAAAGAGACTACAGAAATATTGTTTAAGAAACATCATAAAACTTGTCACAAATCTGATGAAAATAACAGGAGCATCAGATAAACTAAAGGACATGATAAATCACTCCGTCTGTCCTAAATGAATTTTTTTTAGTAGTCACCTCGTTAATAGGACTGTGGCTTTATCCAATTTGAAAATATCAAACTCAAGGATCATTTTAACAAGTTGACATTCCAACGCTAATGAGATCTGATTCGTGCAAAGATGACCTGACAGAGGATCTAACCCACCTTTAGAACATGAACGTCACTTCAGACTTCATACATTTCTGTGATTGCTACAAAAGATCGTGTGGGGTTAACTGTGGAAAGTGACGGGTTTTATCGAGGTTTGCTAAGAAACAAAGAAACATACCTTTAAGGGTTCACAACCCTCTTGTTTGTTTCATGGTTTCATAACAGATAAGACTTCACATCTTAAGAGTAAGGATTTTGGTTGCACACCATAGACAACCAGTGATCTTTCAAAAATAGCAACATTTTATTCATCAAGAATAGGTAATATAGCAATGTATAGTTACAGACCCAAGTCTAAAAAGTTTCTATGTAGCAAATAGCTATAAAGTTCTTTACGTATGCATGGTTTTTAGGTTTCTCGCGCTACTCATATAGACTTACTATAATAGCGAACCTAAAAAAAACAACAACACACTCTCTAAAACAGTTACTCCACAAACATTCAAGTGAATGGTCAAATCCTGATCCGCTATGTTATGCCCCATCACACTTACCTGTCGACTGATACACAAAACATAAACTTCCTGTTTCCCATTCCTTGAAAGTTTCGAGTTAACAACTAATGAACATGTCTTTGGAGCTCCCCAACAAGCTTTGAAGCCAGATTTCCACTGCTCAATTTTCGAAATCTTCTAAGATCATAGATTATACCATCCCCCCCCAAAAAAATAATCGCTAGGGATGAAATCTGTCTTACATCTTTCACCAAAAGGGGAGAATAAGTTACAAATGAATATGCTGAGAAAATTCCTCTTCCAGTAAAACATTGAGCTTGTAATGAATCCTAATCAGGAGATACTATTTCCATGCGAACCAAATGGCGGAAACAACAAATTCAAATAGCTCAGCAAAACAAAGGAAATACTGTTTTGATAAATGCCCTAGAAACAAGCAGGTTAGATGTTCAAATTCTGTGAAAAGCCACACAAAAAAAGAGAAAATCCATCAAAAAACAAAAGAAAAAAAAAGATAATATTTACAAGCAGCAGCAGCAGCAGCAAGAAGAAGAAGAGCTGAGCTTAGAATGTAACACCTTACTTTTACATCTATAGGTATAAAATAAAAAAATAATAAAAATAATACCTTTGAGAGCAGTCCAAGTCGACCTCAGCGGAGGCTGGACGGAATCCCGCAGATGAAGAGGATTGTAAGGTTTAGGAATTTGGGGATTGGCCGGCCCTGGGATTGAGAGAGAGAGAGAGAGAGAGAGAGAGCAGGGACTAATAAACCCTCCTTTTATCGGGTTGGATTCATAAGAACGGGTCCACTCCTATTAAACCCGCACCGTTTCGCCCTTGAACGAGACAAGTTGATGGGCTGGGCCTGAGACCAGACAGTCCTTCACGACCTCTGAAAACAGCCCATAGTTTGGGGTGCTCTAATTTGAATCTTAAATTTGACATTGTATTGAATGCTTGCCAAAATAAATAAACTTTGAACAAGGTAATAACCACCTTGGAGCTTCTCCGATCATGACAGAATCACATATGGAGCTCAACTACTGAGAATGTCTCAAAGAAATTTAACACAAAAATTTAAAAATCCGTGAAGAAATAAGGGGTGCATGAACAAGGGAGAAACTTGTTAGAAATCTAGTCATTAACATATCAGATTTAAATTCATTAAGACGGACACCGGAGATGTAATCTATTAACTATTTGTACATCCTTGGGACATGATTTTTACACTAGATACACTACTATATTTAACTCTTTGTTTAAATCATGTTGCTCAGAAGCTTCCAGTTCATATGTATGCCATTTCAGACGCATATTCGACAATACCAATAATGTTTTTTTTTTTTTTTTTTTTTTTTTTTTTTTTTTTTTTTTTTTTTTTTTTAATTTTTTTTTTTTTTTTTTTTTTTTTTTTTTTTTTTACTTCTCTGTGCTTTGTGCTTGTACTTATGGAGACAACTGTGATGAGATATTTTCCCCAATAGCCAAGATGATCTCAATGCACATTTTTTTTGTCACTTGCAGCTGCTAATCATTGGCCTTTATATCAACTTGATGTGAAGAATGCATTTCTTCATAGTTATTTAAAAGAGGAAGTATATATGGAGCAACCGTCTGGTTTTATTGCTCAAGGGGAGTTTGGGAAAGTGTGCAAAACTTCAAAGATCTTTATATAGTTTCAGTCTCCACGTATTTGGTTCGGTAGACTAACTGAAGTTGTTCGATCCATTGACTAATAGAGAGGAGCAACATTGATCACTCGTTGTTGTTGTTGTTGTTTTTTTTGACATTGAAGTAGTCATAAGATATTGATGGTTGTTTATATTAACGATATTATGATCATCGGTGATGATGCTAAGGGCATTACAGAATTGAAGACGTGTCATGGGAGTAAATTTTGCATCAAAGACTTAGGGGACATGACATTGAGGTTACACGATCTTCTCCTCAAGGAAGCATTTTGTTGGTCACGAAAGCATGTCCATGATATGCTCAAGAAGCATTATGAAATAATGGTAAAGAGTTTTTATTATTATTTTATGCGATATTTTGGAATATATCTGTAGGTTATCTAAAAATCACAACAGATAGTTAATCCCCATCAAACACTGATGATAGAAGTTACAATTCGACAGCTTCCAGAAGACAACAATTTGAAGACTTTCACGTAGATCGATGAAGGTTACAATCTGACGACATTCACAATAACTGATGAAAGCTCTAATCAATAGTCTTCACAATCAACCGTGAGAGTTACAATCTGACGACTTTCACACCCCAAAACAGCCAAAGCGAAGATCACTGGACAATGGTCTTTGCAACGCTTTACAAAAGAGGTTATGGATCACTAACCCGGCCTTTCAAACGCAGAGTTCACATTTGCGTGTCAGTTTTTGAAGCACAGGCAACCCGTGCGTTTTGAACCTTCAATCAAACAAAATGCAAACGGCCCGTCCGTTTCCGGCCCATGCATTTCCAGTTTTTAGCAGATACCCGACTCTGCGTCTCAAGTCTAAGATGCAGAGTTAAGACCCAGAACGCAAGCGGCCCCTGCGTTTTCCAATTATCAGCAAGCACCCAACTCTGTGTTTCAAGCCTAAGACGCAGAGTTAAGGCCTATAATACCGATTTAGGCGTTTGACTTGTTCAAACTCAAGCTGAACGGCCTCAAAACTGTTTATCCCACGTTTTGAGGGATTTTCACCCACTTAGGAGAAGATTTAGGGGTTGGTTACACCCTTTACCCCCCTATAAATAACCGCCTTACTCAACCGAGTAAGGGTTGGATTTTTTGGTTGGATTCCTGAAGATTAAGGGTGGATTGTTTTGGAGGTTGGAGCTTTTGGCTATATTTTGAAGATCAAATCATCTACGAGATCAGCTAGAGAGAGTTATTGGCAGCTAGGAGATCAAGTCTCGGAGGATCCTTCAGCAACAACAAATCCACTTGGCTTACTAACCGATCATTCGGTTTCAACAACTCTTTTCATAGAGTTTTCAACTCGCTCTGAGTTACAATACTCGTTAAGAGTTCTTAATCATACTTACTATGTAAGTTAGTTGTTCCAGCAAGACAAGACGTGCGGATCGTCAACGGAGAACAAATTCGACGCGAGCATTCGAAGAAAGCACTCCATCGCCACCGTGAAGAACCCAGAATTAAACAAATGGGAAAATACATATCAATTTTCCTCTCTTTTGTAATCGCAATTCAAATTGTAATTAAGATCGAGAGAATACAAATCAAATTTTTTTCATTTCTTTTTACTACAAATTTTCCACCAAACAAGAGATGGCGACTCCGCTGGGGAATAGCTTTTCTAACAAAGAAGTGGTGGCACAATCCGATGTTCATCTCACTGGGACAACCGTGGAAACTCTCGTCGTAGAGTTTGATCATGCCAAGTACGAGGAAGCCCTCTCCTCTGGATTGTTTAGCCCCAAAGCTAGATGCAATGTCCGTAAGATCTCTAAGGAGATCAAAACCGCTGTTGAAATGCCCAAAGAAAGCCCTCTTCTTTGGCCAAGATTCATCAAACAGCCCCTCCTCTAAAGGAGTGGGCTTAGCCTATACTAAACTTGTTCAACGAGTTGAACTTCCCACGTCCACATCAAAACGACGTGTTACGGGTCATAAGAGGCCTATGGAGGAGGCGAATTCTATAAACATCGATGATGTTGCTGCCAAGGCTTTGAAGCAGGCCAAGAAGAATGCCGCTCGATGAAGGAGAATATCCTTACGGCGAGCGCACTTACGAAACAGCCGATCTCTTGCCCAACGCGAAGATTGTGTTTTTAAGTCTATGCCCCAATGCTGCGTTTCTACCACTGAACACACACTTGGTGGTAACGAGCCCAATTACGAGCCTCGTGTGATACAACTTAAATGCGACCCCCAGTGGCGCGTTATTCATCCAAAACGCAGTCATCAGGAAAGCGTTTTTAAAGCCAAATGCAACCCTCAGGGGTGCGTTCAACCAAAACATGACCCTTAGGGGTCTGCTTCACCAACTAAACGCGCACTTCATGAGTGCGTTCAATCAAAACATGATCCTCAAGGATCTGTTTCACCAACCAAACGTACACTTCATGAGTACGTTCAATCAAAACATGACCCTCAAGGGTCTGTTTCACCAACCAAACGCACACTTCACGAGTGCGTTCAACCAAAACATGACCCTCAAAGGTCTGTTTTATCAATTAAACATAGGCCTCGGCCTAATGTTTACAAATTTAAATGAGACCCTCACGTTCCTTCTCTAAAACGTGACGTGGTTCGCCAAGTTCAGAAAGACCAACATGGATTTAGGATTCATGCTCATCAAGAACCAATCCTACCCACTCAGGGGCAGGGGGTTCCATCTCCGTCTTCACGCTCAGAGAAAGATTCTTCCCAAGTCTCTAACTTGCGTAAATTACTATCGAGAGGGAGACCGATACAACAAGCAGCTCATTCATGCCAATGTGAGCGGCTTATTTCCGCAGTCCTTTCAGAATACCACTACTATGCACCCGAACCTCGCCAATCTGTGTTCGACAGATTGACAAATGTTGCTAGGCCTACCAAGAGACAGCGTCATCATAGGAAGAAGATTTCTAAAGCCGAATATCCTGAAGTCACTATTAACGTGATCGGCAGAGGGAAGGCCTCAGCGCCCAGTTCTGACGAATCAGGAAGAAGCCACTCTCCGACTATCCGGGAAATCTATGACGAGTTTGAAGGAATATATCGCCGCACTTGAACACGGACAGGAGCTATCCGCTCGGTTAATTATCAAAAGTTAGCCAAGGGGATTACTTCAGATGATGAATATTCAGCGATTGCCGAATCTCAATCCTCAAGCTCTGTCATGGCATGAGAGGCTCCCGTGTACATGACTGGAGGCCCTGACGACTTAGCAAAAAGAGACAACGAACATCAGGTTATGCTTCAAGCACAATAAGAGACACTTCTTCAGATGAAGGACATGTTGGCCCAGCTTCTTGCAGAAAGAGGCTAAAAGCCTGAATCTTCCCAGAGGACCATTTCAAAGGGGAAACAGAAGGCGCATGAAATTTCGGATCGTGAAACCCACAACCTGGAATCCTCTTCTGAAAACGAGAAGGAGATGGAAAGAGAGCTACATCCTCAATCATCTAAAGTAGATGAGCTAGAAGCCCGTCTCAATGCAATCACCAACAGAAGTGAGCTTCGTGAGGAAGAAGTAGTACGGCCTTATCCTGCCGAATGGAACACAACTTCCTATCCATTAAAATTTAAGGCCCCAACTCTGTAACCCTTCGATGGAACAGGATCACCGAACCAACACATCTACTACTTCAAGTTACAGACTAGAGATGTGGTAGCAAATAACGTTATTCTGACCCGTTTGTTCATCGACACTCTTAAAGGAGTTGCTTTCGAGTGGTTTATAAAACTGTCTGCTAGGTCTATAGCTGATTTCCTTTCGGTAGCAGCTATAGATGGTATTGTCCCCGTCCCTAAAGGGGAAATGCGCATGAAAAATACTGACTTAGACGGTCAGAATGATAGGGGGTTGGTACCCCTCACTACCTCAAAAGGGAAGATTATGTGGGTCCATACCGATCTGGTTGAAGACCAACAGTGAACGAACATCTCGTCTAGGAAGAAAAGAGATAGAGTTAAATCATCCAACATGATTAGTCCCTCCTTTAATGATAATGATGATCATCTTAAACTTCTCACAGATTCAGAAGAAGAGAGGATTGTTCTTG